CCCCAAAACCCCAAAACCCCAAAACCCCAAAACCCCTTTTAAAAGAATTAATATTGAAGTATACTAAAGAAGAAACAATTATGGGTATCTGCACATCAAGAAAAAACGTATGAAATCTCTTCTATTATCCATAATTTGGCCTAAATTTGTACTACAAGAGAATTATTTACAGAGATCATGACTATTTTAGCTTAAAAATATTTGAAAATTTTATCAACTACAGTTACTCTAAGCGTTAACTTGCTTTATTAGCATCCCTGTTTATCCTTACCTTTTAATAGGTTCAAGATACAAGAAAGATCAGCTCTGAGGCATTTGCCTTGAAAGGAAACTTTGTCTGAAAATTCTGTGGTGGTAAATAAATGATCCAAAGAGAATTGGAAGAAATGAAAGAATCCTGCCATTAAAGGCCTTCACTCAAATTGGATTAATAGTAACATCATTGCTTCGCAGAGGCTGTCTGATAGGCTCATCGAGGAGTACAAAATAGCCGATCAATTTAAAAAGATGCACGTCAAAGCTATATTTAACCTCCAGGAGCCTGGAGAACACGCCAGTTGAGGTGATGGACTTGTAAACGAAAAGTTAGGCTTCTCTTACACTCCTGAAAAATTACAGCACGGAGGTGTCTCAGTATATCTTTTCCACTGGAGAGACTTAACTAATCCCAAATTCAGCGACCTCATGAAGAATGTGACTTTGATAGACTATCACATCAGCAGGGGAGAGAAAATACTTGTTCATTGTCATGCTGGACAAGGTAGAACAGCTGTTGTAATAGCAACTTACTTGCTCTACAAAAATATAACGACTACTGTTGACGACACCATCAAATACATCCGTGATAAGCGTCCACAGTGTTTAAAATAAATACTATAATAAGAAATTCCTGCATGAGGTGAAGGAAAATCTCGACCAGTGCAGACAGATGTTTCCAAAGAAAGGAGAAGCCTGGACCATCACAGTGGAAGATATCATAAAGAACCAGCTGATTTACTTCCACGGACCTGAACGAATCAAGTATAGGCATATTCCTAAGGTCATTGACCTGTCCCTTGCTAAGCTGACTCAGTTGATCAAAGGAGGTCATTACACATGTGAAGAGATCATAGACTGCTTTACGCTTAACGAGAATCTTAAACAAAAGTTCCAGTTTGATAAAGAGCTAGAGGCTCTCAAGGAGGACATCAACAATGGGGACTGGCACTCATTGATCCAGAGTTCAAGCGAGCCTAAAGTAATCGCTCAGCTGTTCTTGGATTTTTGTGAGGAGCTCTCGGCACCAGTTGTGTCGATCCATCATCTTAAGGATGTAGATACAGCTTATAAGCACAGCTTTAATAAGTATTCAAATACTGAAGAAGGAGATGATAAGAAAGCACTCCATGAGATCTTCGAAAATGATGTCAGAGTTAATAAGAAAAAGGTGACATTTACCACGATCTGAAGAGTCTTATCATTCATCCTCCTGTTCTCTGACTGCGCAGACCAAAGTTTATTAGTGGACCGAATTGTCGTTGCTCTGATGCACAAGAAAGCTCATGTTGGTGAGACTAGCTTTGCTGGCAGGTCATTCATCAGTTCTGTAGCTGATGAAGACGAGGACATCAATATCCTCTCTAGCGTCCTTAAGATGGGGAACAACAGGCCTACAAAGCTGCCTCTGATCGGGTCCCAATCTGTTTCTAACAATGCAAGGTTTGGGGTGGGAATAATGACTCCTGCAGAAAGAAGAGTAAATGATTTCTTAGAACAGATTAACCAACTTGATGAAGAAGACCAAGAGGTATTCATTAAAAAGCTAGATATGATCTCAGTCGAGGCTGACGACCACCTCAAATCTCTAGGTCTCAGCCCAGCAAGGCAGAGGTTCAGAGAAATCATACCTGAAGAGCCTGAATCAGGGGTTGTCGCTGACGATAATATTATCGAATTAGAAGAAGTAAAAGAGAATCTTCACAACTCCAAAACTCCCTTCCAAGATTCTTCTGAGACACCAAAGCAGACAGACGAGGATGACGCTTCTGAGGAGATCGTCAGCAGAAATAAAGGCCTTACTGTTGAAAAGCGAGGACATGAAAATGAGCAAGAAGTGGGGAAATAAATACCATATTATTAATAACAATTCGGCCAGATTCATTATTTCACCTACTCGAGGGGTTTTGGGGTTTTGGGGTTTTGGGGTTTTGGGGTTTTGGGG